GTCCTAGGACTAGCCTCAATAAGCAAAAGGCATCCTTAGGAATGCCTTTATCTCCAGAGGGTGCAGAGAGTCGGTGGGATGGAAGAGGAAGGGTGGAAATAGACCCTGTTTGGTTTCATGCTTTCTTTGCTTTCTTCATTCTCTGTTTTCTGATGATAAAGGAGCTTTATTTAGATACTGTAGCAAAAGAATTGATGAGTCATAAGGTTTACAACTTCATTTCCTCCTGGCTGTTTTTATTTTTTCCTGGTGACTGCACCTCCTTCCTTTCTGCCTCATCCCTTGTCTGCGGGTGTGGCAGGCTGTGCTGTGCCTTTAACAGGGCTGTGCTGCTGTCAGGCTAATTCCTGAGCTCTGGCATGTGTCAAGGCATGCCCTGAGCTTTGTGGTGCAGTTCATGAAAACTGAAATGCATTTCTCTAGGGAGATTTTTAACTCCTTTCTGCCACAGAGACACTTTACTATTCTGCAAAGTGCACACCACTCAACAGCACTATGGGAAGTTCTGCTCTCTTCTCCAAAAGAGAGATGAAGGGAAGTAGTGGGCTGCTTTTTTCTTTTCCAATTAAAATTTGTATTTATTGAGCTGTTTTGTTTCATGGCAGAGCTCTGAAGGGTGGATAAAGCTGAGATGGCACTCTGTTACTGTTTGTATCTTGCCCCTGGTGCTGATCCCACTGCAGTGCTCATCTGTCATTGCAGCAGCAGAGTGGTGTGGTCTAAAGGATGCTGACCCACAGCAGTCACAGCTTTATTAGGGATTTCATATAGTGGGAATTTCTTAATGCTTCCCATTGTGAACATCACTTTTTGCTTCTTTTTCCCTCTCCTCACGATCAAAAGTAGACAGTACAATTAAACTGTAAAAATTAACATTAGTAGATAAAATGTATGGTTCTTTCTTTTTCCTTTATTTTTTTTCAGCAAATCTCATTCTTTTGAAATCAAATGTACGCTAGGACTGCCCAGATTTTTTTCTGATGTTTTCCAGGCACAGCAATACAGTCTTTAAAGCATAGGTCCCAGTAGGAATATTGCAGACATAAATGACATATCAGGAGGGAACTGTGGAGTAACCCTTGTGATTTTAAAAGCAGTGTCTCATACAAGGTCCTGGATGTGTATGTTAACATGGCTTTCTAGTGAAAGCATAAATCCTCTTCAACTTCCAGGTATTTACCTACCAATATATTGTCTCAGGCCTTGAGATGGAAGTGAGTGCAGGTGAGCAGAAATTCCCCTGTGGCTCTGGGACTTGCTGTGCAGTCACTCGCAGGACGTGGGCCCCACAGATCAGAGAATTGTGTCTAGTGGAGACTGGCCTGGTTTTACAGCAGAAATGTTGGAGGGAAGAGAAGGAGCTCGGGCTGGCAGTGCCTTCCTCACTGAGGTAGCTGTGTGCTAAACTACTTAACCTTTGAGCTGCAGCTTTTGTGTGAGCTAAGCAGTGATGTTAGTACTATGTACAGCATGCTGGGTTGGAATGAGTTAACCCGCCAGTGCTTCACAGCCTCAGCTCTGGGATTGTGCTGAGTACAGCTGTGGTGTTTAAGAAGCTTGTAGTGCTCCTTACTGAGCCTTTGGGAGATCTCCCCTCCCTCCCAGGAAGTCCAGCAGGGCTCTCATCCCTCTCCATGGCCAGTGGCGAGCAGTCTGTGCTGTGGAACTGCTCTGGAAGCAGCTCTGCATGGAGAGCTCTGCATGGAGAGCTCTGCCCCCGGGCTGCAGGGATGGAGAGCTCTGCCCCAGGGCTGCAGGGATGGAGAGCTCTGCATGGAGAGCTCTGCCCCAGGGCTGCA